GTACTTTTTTCTGAGGGCCGTCAGTGCTGAGGGGTGTCACAACTATTTTCAACACTGTGCACACATTTCATTCATTGAGTGCATGTTGAGCATATTTACAACTAGTTACAGAGCAATGATGATGCCGCCGACAAGCCAACTGTGCTGTTAAAAGGCACTTTATGCGCATTTATGAGGCCCATCTTAAAATGTCAGTGGGTGCCTTGTGCCATGTTACGAGTAAGCAAGGCTTGCAAGTGGCTTAATAAGTGGATATAATTTTAGTTGTAGTTTTATTTGTTGTTGTTGATAATTATCGGTTATACCTCTTTTATAGTTTTTGTAATTTATGTGTATATATGAACATTTATATAAACATTTTACAGACATTCAAGTTGTATTGGGAATAATTCTAGAGTGTAATAGCAATTAGCTTCTGTTTGCAGAGCATCGATCAGTCGCTGCTGCCTTGGGTTGCATTGCATGCGCTAGCGTTGATAATTATCTTATCAGAGCAGCCATGGCAATGGCATTTGCAATCAAATGAATTCAATTGAAAATATTTCGATTCACTCCACTGCCTAGTTATTTACAAGTTTGCATCGAACAGTGTCTGTAGGCGGTCTGCTGGTGCGGTCGGAAGTATTCGTGGTGGTTGCCCGGAGCGAGTCGCCAAGTCGTCGAACTTTCTGCCCGGCTCCGGCACTCGATATGTGACGACAACAGCTACAACAACAGCAACAACAACGACAAGGAGAACGAGAACGAACAGAAACGGCTGCTGCGCTTTTCTTCAACTGATAAAGATAAGGCCAAGGAGTTGAGTAAGAGTGCTCGCTGTAAGACTCTTGAAGCAAACTTTTGCCAGCCTTTGCGGTTGCCGCCGCTCAAGTTGGCCAGCATTTTGTGACAATTTATTTTCTATGCTTTGGCGTTTGCTTTCAACAAATCGAAAAACTATTAAATTGGGCTCTGAGCCAAAACGACAACAAAACCAAAAAGAATCCAGCGTGAAAAGTCAAACCTTACATACTCTAACGACTTGAGGTAGTTTGCTTACAGCGATGAGTCTTTGCTTCATTAATGTAATATAGTTAACATATAATATATATATATAATCGTTAATGTATATAGTTCGCTATATGAAGTTTTTAGGAGTTGAGTTTGACATATGTATTATATCAATTAAAATAAATAATTAAATTTAAAAGAATCAATAAATTCAGATAGGCCAATATTTATATATTTATATATCGAGCTTAAATTGTCGCATTTTAAAAATTGGAATTCCTTTAGAGCTTTTTCTTAAAGCCTACGTGTTCGGCTACAATGTTTTCCAATTCCTAGTGTATTTAGACAAAAGTTTTGCACGCCTCTCACAGCTGGAAATTTTCACTGTTTGACAGTCACGCGATTTCACCATGGTTTGGCACATTTGATATCAAATGCAACTTTTCACCTTTGCACGCCGTTGACAGGCTTCGACGACATCTGCTTAATTGGATAGGAAATGGCGAGAGCTTGGCCAAGCCACTGGCACGGTCAGCGATAAGATCCCCAAGCGAGCCAACCGGATACGTAAAATGTGCAATTAAACAAATAAAAAAAAAATTGAGTGTATATATTTATCAATTTCAAGCTAATACTTTTAGCTGTAGGAAGTATTGATTGAGTTGCTTTCTGCGATTATTGTCAATCTATAAATTTATAAATAATATTAATATTAAAAGAACGAAGTAATTTAAATACATCTGTGATTCTATGTTTATGTGTAACTGTATAAGATATGGTTGCAATGTAATGTCACTCAATAAACTATCAATCAATTCTGACTATGTACAGGGTATTTTCGAATCACTTATTGGCACCATAACCTCACTTTCTGGCCATTACCTCAATTGCCTGAGCTTGCCAGCTTAAAACAGATTATCGCTGCTTGTATACTATGCGTGTCTCTATAAATATGAGCATGATTAAAATAGACTTGATAAAAGATAAACTACAGTTCATATTCCATGGAGTTTGGTTGTCAACGGCAACGGTGCCAACGCCTACTGAAGTCGCAGCACTAAACTAATTAAAACTTTTTGGGTTTTTCTGCTCGCTGTTGGGTTCGTCGGGCTCGGCCATATGGCATTGGACGGGAGAGTGCTGTACCCGGAAAGCTGGCATAAATTACGAATTGAAATCACGTAAATGCTGGCAAATTTAATCAGCCTAGCATCAGAGTGCGTCTGCGGCTGGTTGCTAAGCAAAAATTAAATTTAACAACACAACCAAATAAGGATACACAAAAACGAACAAAAATCCGAAATGCAAAAAAAAAAAGAATCCAAATCCAATAAAGAAAAAAATCGTTAGTGTCAAACGTACAAAAAATTTGCACACAGCTACGTGACTTCAATTTCTCACTTAGCCGCAGCCTCTGCCGGTCCTTGACTGCCCACAGCTCTGTGTCTGTGTCTATCTGTGTGTATGTGTGTGTGACAAGGTGTATTAGTGTGTTGTGTTTTTTTTTTTTTTTTGGCTGTGTCGTTGCAGAACTTTTAATCCTTTGCACTTTTGTCAATGTCAAGCCAGGCTGGCCAATGACAAACACAAAAAACAAGCTGATAGAGCCCCAAAGCAACACGAAGGATGCCATTGAATGGAAGTCAATGCTTATATGCCCTTACCGACCGGAAGTTGTTAATTGTTCAGCTGGAGAACCATTAGGCTATGGGCAGATGATTATGCCAGATGTCTTCCTTGATAACAAATCTAAAAAATAATTCGCGTAGAATTTCGAGTAGCTAAAAATATATAAATTTATATATTAAAAAATTGAAACAGATTCGAAAATATGCGATATTAACATAACATTCTTCTTAATGTACACTTACTAATAAATTTGAATATACATATCAGTATATATATCAGTTTATATATCCTATTATTATTGTATTTACTTACAATCTATTTTAGGATTTCTCCTTCCCAGAGAAAGCTTTTTTAAAATGGTTTAGGTAGCAAGCGCAGTAAGAATGTGGTAGGTGGTTGCTTTTAGAGTGTGTGGTACACATGCTATGTGTAACTGGCCCGAATAGTTTTCCACCACAACGGCATTTCGGAAAAGAGGAGAACACGAAATAAATAAAAATAAAAGTAAAAGGGCCAGCCAATAAAATTAATTGATTTCGAGGTTTTCCATTTGCTGTGTGTCAAGCGATTTTGATTTTTAGCCGACATTTAACCGCATTTGACAGATACAGTTGGGTCAAAGCATATATGTGAATTGTTTTTTTAAATAGCCTTAAAGCGATTCAAAACGTAGTCAAACATAGGTATAAAAACAAAAATTAGTGCGATATATGACGGTAAATGGTAGTGGTAGAGGTAGAGGTAGAGGTAGAGGTAGAGGTAGAGGTAGAGGTAGAGGTAGGGGTAGAGATACGAATAGAGTAAGCTTTAAGCGTTATTGATAACAATAAGCATTATTGATAACAATATGATAAAGTTTCGTAGCAAATACTCCATATTATTACAGTAAAGCCAATGTTTTCTTTTTCGTCTTGTAACATCCCAAAAAATGTATTCAAAAATATTTTGATTATAGTGCTATTTATATGCATGTACATACAAAAATGAATACATTTACAAACTTTTAGAATGCCCACATTCAGATTCAATGTAACTTTCACAGTTATTTGGAGTGGATTAGTGATCAAAGGTGCCAATTGAATGCAGAGTTTGCCACACACCTGCCTCGCCCGCAGGCCCCTTCCTCTGTCGACCTTCCCATGCCACTGGAACCCGCTTGCTACGGCGCTCGCATTATCAATTATGCGTTCGCATTGCGTTCCGTGTCCGAGTCCGAGTCCCGAGTCCTGTAAACTTGGCAATTTATTTGCACCGGAAACTCAACATAAATCAAACTAATTTCTCCAGGGATTTTTGAAACAACTTTCGACGTGTCGCTCGACTGCTGCGTTTGTCTGTGTTGAAATGTGTTTGTGTGTGCGGGTGTGTGTGTGTGTGTGTGTGTGTAGGTGTAGCTGACTTTGCGCCTGTTGTGGTTGTTGTCGTTGTTGTTGTTGGGAACGTGTTTGGGGCATAGCAAATTGAATTTGTCGCGCCATGTTGCATAATTTGGGGTCCATTGTGCGTCTAATTGGCCAAAATGCTGAAGACCGACAAGGAGCTCGAGAGCTCCTTGAAATGTTGACATATAGCCGCACCAATTATTTATGCTATATACGTATTCTACTTATGAACAAGTCTAGACTTTGGCTATTGATTTTGGTGTGGTGGGCCTTAGCGCATAGCTCAGGCGCTTAGTCCTCAGGGAGCTACACATAAGCTCTTTACTTAACTGGGTTGGACCCAAGGGTCCGATGTGATATAATGCGGTACCCAAACTACATAAGACTTGAAGTTTATATATATGTACCGATTCCTTGACAGGTATAGAATCTAAATATAAAATAGTATACTATAATAT